AAATTGGCCTCCCTGGTGGAGCGAGGGATTAAGCCACAGTACTATGAAGTTATCCACAGTCACTGCAAAAAGAGTTGGATCCCCAGCCAGGAAGTTACCCACATGGCTCAGGAGACCTCTCCTGTCTTGCCTGCTGCTCCCCCCAGCAGTATATTTCAATTGATCTGCCTGTGCTGCTCCCCACTCTTTTGTGGTGAATCCTCTCACAACCCTACCCCACACCTCTGGTCTGTACCCCAATTCTAATATGCATTAATAAATAAATCTTGAAAAAAAAATAAAATTTAGAAATTATAAAATAGAACCAGATGCAGAAAGAAAAACAGATGAGAATATCTGAAAAATAATGGCCTACTTCAAAATAATAACCCTCAACAACAAACACTCCAGCTCAGTTATAATTTCAATCTCCCTCTAGCAAGGATACTAATGAGCTGAGAAATATCATAACCAAACAAGAGATGCAAGTGAAGTCAGACTTTGATGAAAATCCTGAAATAAGAAGTGCATATCTTAATTCATTACCTTAAAATTCCAAGTAGATGGCCCTCCCTGATGGTGCAGCGGGTTAAAGCACAGCACTGAGAAGCTGAAGCCACTTCCGCATGAGTTCGATTCCCGCCTGCCCCGGAAGTGACCACATGGCATGGCAGACCTCTCCTGACCCGCCTGCTGCTCCCCTCAGCACTGTACTTAGTCGATCTGCCTATTCTGCTCCCGCTCTGTCTTGGTGAATCCTCTCACCCTCCGCATCTCTGGCCTGTACCCCAGTTCTGTATGCATAAATAAATAAATCTTAAAAAAAAATTCCAAGTAGATGAGGGATTATTAAGACAAATTTGCAATGTGTAGAATGCAATCAGAACAAAGCTACAATCAAAAGTGAAACACCCCCTCCAATTTTAAGTTAAGTCATAAAACAGCTGTGATTTTTAACCTAGGGGGCTGAAATAGTAACCCTATTAATCACAGGAAAACAACTGGAAACCAACTTTTCATTTAATACTAGATGAAACCCAACCATAGAAGCTGGCTGAGGTAACTCTAACTCAATTACTGAGACAGATGACGTCCTTACAGAGTGTTATGCAAGAACATGCTAGTTCTTTACTGGAAATGTCAAAAGGAGCCATTTATTGCTCTTCAGTCTATAATAGTTCAGTAGCCTTAAAATGAGCAGGAAAGGGGCCCAGTCTCCGATATGTCACTTTTAAGAAATGCCGTTCCATTGCCAAAAATCACAGAAAAGGAAATCCATTCTCGCCAAGGACATTGACACTCGCAGCTATGTCTTCCTGAGCAACATTTAATAAACTTCTCTTCTGTAAGGAGACCTCATTCTAGAAATCCCCTTCCAAATGCAGTTAGCCACTCCAGCTCTCACCTCAGGCACTGCCAAACTTTCCTACCCCACCTTTTTTCCTAAGGTGTTAGCAATTTATCATGGAAATTAATTTAGCTTCTCCAAGCTAAAAAAAAATCCCTCTTTGGGGCCCTCCGTGGTGCGCAGCAGGCAGACACAGCACTGAGAAGCTAAAGCCACTTCAGCACAAGTTCGATCCCTGGCCACAGAGATGACACACATGGCGCAGCAGACCAGTCCTGTCTCATCCACTATCTTTTAGCCAGTCAGCCTATTCTGCTTCCACTCCATCTCTGGTGAATCCTCTCACCTGAGAGAATCCTCTCAACCTGCACGTCTGGCCTGTACCCCAGTTCTGTATGCATGAATAAATCTTTTTTAAAAAATCCCTCCAAGAGTTTTAAGTGAGGATGGAGAAGGGGCAGGCCCTCGAACAGTCCATGTGGACATCTATCCTGTCGTAGTTATGAAACACCAACTATAGTTATTTTTCACAAAATTATTAGTTATACTAACATGTAAAGGGCTTAGAACTTTTAAACAAAGTAATATCTTTACAATGTCTCAAGTGTTAACTTCTCATATCGTATTAGTAGATATAACCCACATAAATCAATGTGCTGAGGAGCCTCAATAGTTTGCAAGAGTGAAAAGGGGTCTTAGACCAGAAATTTGGAGGTGCTGCCCTAATGCAATTTGATCACAGAAATCTTTCTCCGACACCTGGAGCATATTCTGTGGAACAAATAATGGGGAACAATATGTGATCATCAAATTATCCTTTTCTCTACCACGTCTCTCTAACCATTCTTCAGTAAGTTCGTTTATATGCTGATCTAAGAATTTCCACTCAAACAGGAGTTTTATGTTTATGACAGTAAACACACATATGTCCTCTGGCAAACTGGTGGGTGCTGACCTCATCTGTTTGAAGAAGTCTTAACCTAGAGAATCGCTTCACTAAGCAAATGTTATGAATAGTGCAGAGAAATGAAGACATGGATTAACATGTTCCTATAGCAGGTAATCCTCTGCCCTGAGACACAGTGCCAAGGAGCTCCCCCAAACTTAAAAAATATTTTTAGAAGTTAGAATCAGAGCCCCTGTGGTTCACGATTCAGTTTCCAACACCAGAATCCCTGGTTGAGGCAGGCAGGTTACAAACTCCTCATAAAAAGAGCGGGAGGACATCCGTTTATGACTTGGCCTCCCGACAAGCTGTATTTGCCAAAATTGTATGCAAGCCAAAAGGAACGTAAGAACAAATTCACATTTCTCCCGTGGCTTTTCAGAATGCAGAGTAAGGCCGATTCTCCAACTGCAGCAAGGCTGGAACCCCAATTACAGAATTTGGTTTAATATCTCATCAGGTATTTGAAAGACTGTCCAGAAACCTGCTCTCAGCTGGCAGTCAAAGGGTTAGGGGCAGAGGCAAAAGCACACTGGGCTGAAAAACAAGGGGAGGCAGAAGCTGTCCCCCAGGAAGCACAGCCCTTCATCAGAGCCAGCCCAGCACAGACAGCTCAACCCTCTGCTTTCCAACTGGATTTTTCCCAACTATTAGGGACCATTAAGTTGATGCAGTTTTCTAAGTGTCTAGCTATAAAATGCAGCTCAAGCATGACCAGGATCTCACCCTGTGAGCTGAGAACACTCATCTCAGCAGCTTTTCCTTTTTAGCAAAGACTTGCAAGGAAATCAGCATACGGTCTGCTCCCAACCAAACTTTCTTTAATGAAAAATTTTATCGCCACAAATGCTTGCTAAGTTTCTGAGCCCATTCTGGCTCATTTAGTCCTCCCACTAACTGGGTGAGACAGAGATGATAATGATCCCCGTTTTACAAATGAGGAGACAGACGCGGGGGTGCCTGAGGTGGTTTCTAGGTGGTAGAGGTGGACAGACCCAAGCAGCTGGCCCAACTACACCTCTGAACGGGGTGCCGTCCTGCCCACATGAAGCACATGGGTCAACGCCAAATGGTTCATAATAAGAGAAAGCCAGTGCTATGGGTGATGTGGTGGTTTCAGCCCCAGATTAGCCTTTCTCTTTTTAAAAGATTTATTCATGCATACAGAACTGGGGTACAGGGACAGTGTGAGGATTCACCAGCAACAGAATGGGGAGCAGGTCAGGCAGGTCAAGTAAGTACCCTGCTGAGGGGAGCAGCAGGCAGGCAGGTCAGGCGAGGTCTGCCACACCCTGTGGGTCACCTCCAGGGCAGGGATCGAACTTGCACTGAGGTGGCTGCAGCTAGCTTGCCGTGCTGCGCTTTAACCTGCTGCGCCACGAAGGAGGGCCCAAGTTAGCCTTTCTTTCAAAAAGCCTTACATTTTGTCTTCTGTCAGGCTCTATTCGCGTGTCAGTTGACATTTACCAACCAGAGCTCCATCCTTCTTGCCAGCCTGTGCTGATATCCTCTCACAGGGTATCTGAAGCAGCCATCACCAAGAGGATGAATAAAAGAACCCAGGAATGAACACACAAAAGCGAATCTTCACAAATCTACTTAGTCTCAAGAACATTAATTTCCAAATGAGGTCTGTGCACCCTGGAGGCTATGCAAAACAGCCCAGTGGGCTGCAGGAAGAAGAGATGAGCATTTCTATTTCTATTTGCTGACATTTACCACAGGGATGACACTGGAGTCCTCACTCTGTGTGGCAGGCAGCTAGCGACAGGCCTGCTCGGCTGGTGGCCTAGCTGGGCATTCCCCAGCTCTTGGGGGGGCCACACCTGTTTGCTTTCACAGTGGGCTGTACTGAATTGCAAATGGCATGGGCCTATCAGAGAAGGGCTGTATGTATTTTTAATTTTACCTACGCTAATGCTCACAAAATGGATGAGTGAGTGGTTTTAAGCAAATCTTGCACAGATCTGCAAAACTTACTGGAATACAAGCACAGATGTAAAGAGAATAGCAGAACTGACATTTCTACCACTTCTCATGTCATGTTTTTCATGAAACATAACAAGCTATCAGATCTAACAAGTTGACAAAAAAAAAATACTGAACATTGATATAGCACACAATTCCAAAACATAAAACTCTAGTGGACAATAATAAACACAGTGAGGGCTCTGAGGTTAAGGCGGGAAAGGCTATGAGGATAAAAGAAATAAAAAGAAGCTCTGAAAGCAACAAAACTTTACAGTCATATCCATTGCTCTCATCCGTGGTCCTTGCCTAAGTGAACACGGTGCCCTACAAGACTGCCTAGCAATTCTCTCGAATCGTTTATAAATAAATGTACCTTATGAATAGGATAAATGCAAGTAGAAAATGCAGCCACTTCCAACAAAATGGAGGAAATTTGAGAGCAAAATGTGTAGCAAAGTCCGTCAGAACAATGACTCTCAAAACCCAGTGGACGCCAGTAAAATCCCGAGGACTCTGAGGGGAGGTGGGAGTGGGAGGGGACACAGGTCAGAGGCAGGACACTCACTGGTCTAGACTTTGCAACGTCAGCATCACCTGGCAGCCTGTCAGAAATGCAGGGTCACAGGCGCACCCCAAACCCACTGAACTAGAATCACTCCAACCTACTGGAACGAATGTCCACACCCCTCCAGACCCCTCCTCTCAGTAACAGCCAACCAGCCACACCTTAATCTTCGGGATCCCCACCACACTTACTTTGGTTTGATCGTCCGCTTTGAACACATAGCAGATACTCTGCTCGCTGGCTGTGCCATCTTTAATCAGACAAGCAAAGTAACTCGGGTCGTGACTGTTGTGGATCAGTTTGTGGACACGCTGCGGTTTACACTCAAAGATGCTAGAGCAGATCAGTGGGTCCCACTGTTGGGTCTTTCCGGGCTCAGGTTCACATTTCAGTCCAGAGGGCGCCACACAAAGCCTGACAGGCTTGGGACCGGGCTCCCTTTTGGAGGCCTGTGCACAGTGCCTGCGCACCTCCGCCACCACCCAGGGCAGCATGGGCATCGTGGTGAGAGAGTGCACGGGCAGCGAGCCCACCAGCTGGAGGCTGAAGTCCACTGAGACCTCGTTAGGAAACGGATGTTTTCTCGCTGTGAATGTTATTGGTTCCATCTTGGGAAAAGTCTGGAAACTCAGCAAAATGTTGCCACTGTTTTTCTATTTTAGACCGATGTATGACACAGATGCAGAATCCTGGGGGAGAAAACCAGAGACATTAGAATTTAATGAAGTCATAGCCATAGCTACTTTCAAAGAGTTATTATTGCAGAAAAACTTAACAAGCTGGAGACCAAACATTGGAAGAAACTGATAGAGTGCAAAGACGTTGTTGTGACTAAAAGGAGCTTTCTTGAAACTATTCCATATAGAACCTGAAAATGCCCTAACTGTCTCACTACAGGTAATAAAGATCCCAGGTCAACTCCTGATAACCTAAGCATCTTGAAAGCAACAGGGCACTCACACCTTATTGTCTTCTTTAATATGCATTCAAGGAACTTTTAAAAGACAAATCAGGACCCTCCCTGGTGGCGCAGCGGGTTAAAGCACTGCACTGAGAATCTAAAAAAAGCCGCTTCCGCATGAGTTCGATTCCCGCCTGCCTCGGAGGTGACCACATGGCGTGGCAGACCTCTCCTGACCCGCCAGCTGCTCCCCTCAGCAGTGTACTTCGTCCATCTGCCTGTTCTGCTCCCCACTTCTGTCTCTGGTGAGGCCTCTCGCCGCCCCTGAGCCTCTGGCATGTGCCCCAGTTCTGTATGCACAAATAAATAAATCTTTAAAAAAAAAAAAAAAAAAAGACAAATCAAATTCAGTACTGGTGACTCTCCCTCCCTCCCCCGCAGAAAACAGTACCAGCTCTCCCTCAGCAGAGTCTTCTGAAACAGGCCAGTTTTCTTTCTTTCTTTCTTTCTTTTTTTTTTTTAAGATTTATTTATTTATGCATACAGAGCTGGGGTACAGGCCAGAGGTGGTAAAAGGATTCCCCAGAGACAGAGTGGCGAGCAGAACAGGCAGAATGGTGAAGTACACTGCTGAGGGGTGCAACGGGCGGGTCAGGAGAGGTCTGCCAGGCCATGTGGGTCAGCTCCGGGGCGGGATCGAACTTACACCAAAGTAGCTGCAGTTGCTTGCAGTGTTGTGCATTAACCCTCTGTGCCACCAGGGAGGGCCCTGAAACAGGCCAGTTTTAAGCAATGGGCTCTTTACTTCCAACACTTAAGTTTTAAAAGGCTTTCTCTGCCATACTCTGGAAGTTCTGAATCACAGTTTCAGATACCATTAACATGTGTTTAGTGCCTACGATGTCCCTTACATTGTCATAAATGCTGTTTTATTTAATTCATCTATAACAGCCATCAGCTCACATCTTTCCTCATCAATAGAAAATGCTGCTTCTATGAAACCCAAACACTCTCAGCTCTCTGACTCTGGTTATGGATGATTTTCAACAGCCACACTTGATGTATCTTCATGACTTCCTATTCTGTGGGGGAATAAAACCTTCTGTTTTGGGGTTATAAAAACATAAAAATTTTGGTTGTCTGGGGTCTCAGGCTCTTTTCTTTAGTTTTTGCTGCTGGGACCTTCATCCTGTCACAGACTCTCCTGCATGTATATAGAAGCTAAGGAGAAAGTCTAAGCAGGTAGGGACTATACCTGTCTGACGCACCGTTGTACCCCAGCGCTTGGGATGATGCTCAATAAATATCTTAAAGAAGTGAAAAAACGCTCAGTAAATATTTTAAAGAAATGAATTTTTTTAAAAAGCTATTTTCCCTTGACCTCAAACTTCTTCCAACCACAACTTTCTTCCCTCCACAACTTTCCCCAAAGTCAAGTCTACACCTGCTGTCTCACTTCCTCCACCCCCCACGATCTTGGCACTGGAGGTACTGGGGAGTCCCTGGCATTGCTCACCTTCAGGTAGTCCACCTCTCTGGCTGTAAAACCCCAAGGGGAATTTGTAGTCCTCGACCACCCTGTCCTCAATAACAAACTTCTCAATGTTGCCCTCTCATCTCACTTCTCTGGAGACTTCTCTTCAGCCTCCTTGATGGCTTTCCTCCCCTCCTGACTGCCGTCCTCTCCCCTCACTCCACCTGTCCTCGGTCAACAACCTCATCTAATGTCCTGGTGTCAAGAACCACATCCTACTCCCTCGACTGCTGCTGACAACAGCTTTCCTTTAGGGTACTGGCCACTCTGCATGTACCATCTCCTTTATCTTCACAATAACCTTCCTCTCTAACCTCTTAGTTAGACTCTGCAGGTCAAGATGGGCCACTCAGTATTTCTATCTTGAGAGCCTATAGGCACCTTGGCCTCGTTAGCTATTGTGAAATGAATTCAGTCTCACCTTCCCACACTCCCTGTAAGCTTTCCCTGGAAACAGCATCACTATCTTAATGGCCAAGTTGAAAACCAGGAAATCTGAATGCTTGTGCCCCCTGCCCCCAAATTCATATATTGAAATCCTGATCCCCAGAGTGTTAGTATTGGAAGATGGGGTCTTAGTGAGGTAACTAGATCGTATGAATGGGATGAGTGCCCTTAAGAAAGAGACCCAGAGGGGCTTGACTGTGTCTCCCCCCCACCCCGACGAGACAATGAACCAGAAGTCCAGCCTGCCAATACCCTGTTCTTGGGCTTCTCATCCTCCAGAACTGTGAGAAAATACATCTCTGTGGTTTATAAACTACCAAGTGTCTCATGTTCTGTTCCCCAGCCTGAAAAGAATAAGGGAGTCAATCAAATTCCTTTTTCATCCCGTCACTACTTCCAAACAGATTCTACATCTATATTTGTATCTTCTTTTGTCAACTGGAGATTGGCTCAGCCTTCACTCCCTTTCACATGTTATCTAGAGTAATGTAACCAACATACAAAACTGCTCATGCCACTTCTCTGCTAAAAAGTCCTCATATTCGGCCCTCCCTGGTGGCGCAGTGGGTCAAAGCACAGCACAAAGGCACTTAAGTCACTTCCACATGTGTTCGATCCCCGCCTGCCCCAGAGGTGACCATATGGAGAGGCAGACCTCTCCTGACCCGCCCGCTGCTCCCCTCAGCAGTATACTTCGTCCATCTGCCTGTTCTGCTCCCCACTCTGTCCCTGGTGAATCCTCTCACCCTCCACATCTCTGGCCTGTACCCCAGTTCTGTATACATAAATAAATCAATCTTTTTAAAAAAAAAAAAAAAAGTCCTCATATTCTTAGCATGGCATTAAAAGCCTCTTCAGTCCCGTCTCTTTCCCCGTCTTCATACTGCCACTAAGACATGCTTCCTCATGGACGTTACGGTTCCCCAGTTGTGGTTTCTGGGCCTCTGTGCCACACTGCATATTGTTCCTCTTTCCCCTGAGCATAACTGGTCAGAGGGCCTGAAGTTGTTCCCCCCACTCAAGCTGACAAGCCTGCCAGCGCAGAAGTCTGCTGCCAGAACACAGCAGAGGTGTGGGTCTGAGCAAAGACAATTACTACTCAGAACAAAGGCAGAAGCCAGAGAGTCGGCCTCTGCGCCACTTTCCTGGCCCCCAGTTCCACAGGCCAGTGACATCTGTGTCCACAGTGGGCTAAGGCAAAGCACCTCTTGGGGAGCCCAAATACCCACTAAGGTGGTTGGGGGGTATCAGGGGTAAGGATAGGATGTCTGTCCTTGGCTCCAGAGAAAGGCACTATTTCTATCTTCAATGGATGTTTGCTGTTTGAAAGAAATGATTGAAGGGCTCCCTGGTGGTACAAGGGGTTAAGTCTCAGCACTGTGAAACTATCCTCAGCTACTACAGCATGAGTCCATCCCCCCCCACCCAGGGAGCTGACCCACATGGGGCAGCCGACCTCTCCTGGCCTGCCCACTCCACCCTCAGCAGTATATTTCAATGGATCTGCCTGTTCTGCTCCCCACTCTGTCTGCTGAATACTCCCCCTACACACACACACACACACACACACACGCACACACTTCTGCCCTACATTCCAGCTCTTTTATGCATAAATAACTGAAATAAATCTCTTTTAAAAATAAAATTTTGTTTTAAATGATTGAAAATACAGTTCAGAGGCCCTCCCTGGTGGCACAGCGGGTTAAGGTGCAGCACTGCAAGCTGGCCACAGCTGCTTGGGTGTGAGTTCCATCCCCAGCCCCAGATGTGACCTACATGGCCTGGCAGACCTCTCCTGACCTGCCTGCTGCTCTCCTCAGCAGTTACTTCATCAATCTGCCTGTTCTGCTCCCCACTCTGTCTCTGGTGATTCCTTTCACTGCCCCCTGCACATCTGGCCTGTACCCCAGTTCTGTATGCATAAATAAACAAATCCTAAAAAAAAAGAAAGAAAATACAGTTCAGAGCAAAGGCCATTACTGAATCTCCCTGCCAACCAGGTGTGTAAAGACAGGAGAGATCCACAGAGGATATCTCCCAAAGATCCCCCATCTCATCCTCTACATTCACCCCAACTCATATTTAATCCTAGCATACACAACTCCCCTTCTCTCTTGCAAGGTGACTGAGATCATCCATCACCGAGTCCTTCTGTATTCTGCACCTAACCATCCCGTTCATTTTAAGAATCTGAATAGGTATTCTTCAACAAGACTGGTATGCTTCTGAAACTCTTAAGGCTTGGTGTTTCTAAACCAATCTTCAAATTCTAAATAGTTTCTGAAAGAGAACTGGTCTATTCTTTTTACTTATGTTGTTTCAAAGTATATACATGAATTTATTCTGATTTTTATAGTATCATTTGAACAGATTCCGGAACTATTTTTATTTTGAATGTTCAAAAGTTCAAAAATAAACCCATATTTATTTAGAGTTCCAATATATTCCACAAAGTATTTTCTCTGTCTCTTTTCCCTTAAAGTGCGCTTCTCTTGATGATGAAAATTGACCCGATATTCTCATAACCCCATAAATAATGGTCTCTCTCTAGTTCTCTTTCTTAACTACAGGTGAAAGTAGCATTAAATGTCTGTCTTAACTTCCACTCCTGTAACTGAATCTGTTTCAAGTTCTAACCGTTGACAGCTGCTAATCCTAAAAAATGTTTAAAGAAGTACTAGAATTATTACAAAGGATAGACCGGGATCTATCATGCAGTGTAGACA